TTGTGTGTAGTGAACTTCTGTTTTGGGGAAAGCAAGCACAAAGCACAGGGATGTCCCCCATGATGCTGACATCGGTTGAGGTGTTTATTGAGGGAGAGAGAAGACCTCCTAAATCTTTCTCCTCAAAAGTATTGTGTTTAAGGAGGCACCTTATGCTTCTTGCAAGAAGCTAGTGAATTCAGGGTAATTAGGGGGATACTTCTAGAATGGAGCAATGAGAAGACAAGTACCTCATAATGGTGATTAGATAAGGCTAGTTGATGAAGGGTCTCGGAATACTGGCCTGTGGAGTTTGGGGCTTAATATAATAGGCAGCAGGAAATTGTTCTAAGTTCTTGAGCAGGAGTATGTTATAATTGAATTTTGTTATGTGTTATATTTAAAATTTGTTATAATTATAATGTGAAATTTTTTATAACTGAAATTTGGCAACTTCTTAGCAGGTTTGGATAGAAACTTTGGTCCTCCTTAAGTTAGAGGTTGGTTCATTACCTTAAAAATGAAAATGTTGCCCTAGCTGGTTTGGCTCAGTGGACAGAGCGTCTGCCTGCAGATTTAAGGGTCCCGGATTTGATTCTGGTCACAGGCATATACCTTGTTTGCAGGCTCCTCCCAGGCCCTGGCCCTGGTCAGGGGTGTGTAGGAGGCAACCAATCGATGTGTTTCTCTCACATCGATATTTCTCTCTGTCTTTCCCTCTCTCTTCCACTCTCTCTACAAATCAACAGAAAAATATCCTAGAGGATTTAAAAGGAAGAAAGAGAAGAAAAAATAAAAGAAGAGAAGAGAAAAAAAGAAAAGAAAGAAAATGTCCCTGTTTGGTTCATTTTCACCATTGCTACTGGAGCAAAACAGTGTTATGCATTTTCCTCTGACTTTTACATAGCAGTAAATCTGGAGGCTGGTTTTAAATTGTGTTTTTAGTGTCTAAGGAAACTTTTTCCTCTCAGTAGACTCTGTCATCAGAAGAAAGTTGAACCAGTCTTATGGGTGTTTCTACATGTTTATTGTGTTTAAGAGGACAGACAGCCATCCATATCAGAGAAGCTTATAGCAAAGGCTTATTTCTATTAGGTGGGACCAAGGGCCATTGTGGGACTCTCTCTAATCTTTGAGTGCTTCCTGCTGTTGCCAGCACAGCTCTTCCTTAAAGCCACCCTTAACAGCTGCTATGGGAGCAGTTTCAAGCAGCTATCCTTAACACATCATCATTGGTCTTATCTTATTCTTTAGCTGTTTCATATGTTTTCTCCAACAAAATTAACTCCTATTTCTCTTGTTCTTCATTTGTTAGACCCATAAAAACTTGTTGGTTGATTGAGTGTACTGATCAAAGAACAACAACAAAAAACATAGCAAGAAAGTTATTGGGCAGACTTGGAAGCAGAGTATTATATAGATAATCAGTCCACATTACCAGTCTGTAAGGCAGAGCCCTGCCATGGAATCTGTCTGGTTTTTTACTAGCTCCACTCATGAACCTCTTTTGAGTTTTCTCAAGTGAATTGAAGTCTGTGTCATTATCATTGTCCCTCCAATGAACTAGCATGCTAGGAATGGGGGATGGTACATGACACACCGGCCCAGCCTGGCACTGCTGGCTATTGCTGGTCAGTACCACCATGTGGTCTGTGGGACATGTCGGAGTCCAGTCATCTAAACCAGCTATGGAAGCCTGAGGCCAGTTAAGAATTTGGTAGAGGGGGACCTATCATGACGATGCCTCTTCAGGTGGCAGAAATGAAGACTTAGTGGGGACAGGGTTGTATATATGAAATTTACAAGGGAGAAAAGCAACTTTCAACCCCCTGGGAAGGGGAAGGCCTCTTGGTATTTTGAAGACAAAGGGGAGTTCTGTTTGCAGGAGTGTATGGATATCATTATTCCAAGATACAATATCAATGGAAACTACTAGGGAGTTTTAAAAACAGCTTATGTGAATGACAGATCCAGTCTTTCATTAAGATAAATTAGTGATATATGAGGATACTCTTGACTTTTGAGGTTGATATTGGGAATTACTTCCAAATCTTCCCATAGCTTATTCCTGTCAGAGACAGACCTCCAGCTTACTGCAATGATGGGACTAACCGGGGGGATATTTTGTATCATAACTATTAAAGACAGGCACGATGGGTTGTAGTTCACAAGATTCTTAGCTGCTGGCTCTCTAAGCTTCCTCTTACTCAGAGTAGAAAGGCCTGCTGGTCCCACATCTGCCTTCCCAGCCACACCCACTCACTAGTGACAACGGGCTGCCAGTAGCCTCATCTCTGGAGAACAATACAATGGGCCTGTTGTGTACTTGTTGACATACAGAGTGGATTGTTTTAGCAGGTGCAGAAGATAGGCTGTGTGGAGATTACAGAGACCTTTATCCGTGATGGTGTAGCGTAATTCAAATCTGTTGTTCTTTGTCTGATTGACAAGCAGGTGTTGGAAGGGGACTTCGTTCAGCTTGGGCGAGTCCTTCTGTGCATGGATGCAACATTAATTTGTGTGTGTGTGCATGTGTGTGTGTATCTGTATATGTGTGTTTGTTCTACTCTCTCCGTATTTTTTCCTTATAATAAAGCAATTTACATTTCCTTTGGTGTCCAATGAGATGGCTCTGATTTTTCTAAGGCTTTTGATTGGAGACTGTACACCAAGGCAGTGTGAGTCCTGGAGACATTACTTCTTTGTTTTCAATAATGATCTTAGGAAGATGGCTGATTTCTGTTAGCGTGGTGATTTCACTTGGCTTGTTCATGAACTGGAGTCTTGTGTTTTTACTGTGGCCTTTGGGTCCCTGATAAGTAGAGGGGACTTTCATTTCTGAATTTACTTCTTGATTATCTGTGATAGTGAAGGGGAACAATGAAAAAGAGGGTACTTCACAAGCTCCTTAATTACCCTGAACTCAGTTAGCCATATCCTTCATTTCTCTAAACATTTTCCCCTACCCTTGGCCTTTAGGAGAAGGAAGTCAACCACGCAAAAGCAAACTATGACCAAGGATTTTCTTAAAAAACAAATAAGCAGGCAAGCAAACAAAAAGCCACAAAAATCATTTTGCAAGTTCACTATATGTGTTCAGCTTCATGACAAACAGCTCAGCCTATAGTATAGTTGGCTTGCACACCCATGGAGTCATGTGTGTGGCAAGAAAGCAGGGAGGATCTCCTGGGGACTGTTCCAAAACTGCGGTGAATGTACAACCCGGGGTTAAACATTTAGAGTGAACAGCAGCTTACTTGATCCCCATGCCAATGAAGTAAGCCTTTTTCCTTAGCTTACTTTCTCCACTCTCCCTCTGGCCCTTGCTTATTCAGTTATAGTCTGCCTCCAAGAGAAGATCTCTGTGTTGAAGGAGAAAATGTGCCAGGAGGAGGAGAATAAAAATAGGTCAGTGGTAACTCTCATCACACATTCCCATTTATTTGGTTGGAAATTTACTTTGACTCAATAAGTATTTGTTGATAGCTTCTTTATTCACATACTTGCATTAGGCTCTGGGAGATATAGAACTGTGATGATAATGTTAATAGCTGGCATTTACTTAGCATTTACTGTGTGTCAAGTGCAGTTCTAAGCACTTTATTTATATTCATGCATCTGATCCACACAATGACCCCATGAAGTTCTATTATTATCTTCATTTCACAGATAAAGAGACTGAAAGTAACTAAGACACCCAGCTAGGATCTGGTAGAGCCAGAATTCAAACCCAAGCATTCCTGTTCCAAAAAGAGAAGATTCTTGCTCCTATGAAGTCCAGTTGGGGGAGATGAGGTCAACATAGTAAAAAACAGAAAACAATACAAGGCTCTGGCAGTGAGGATGATGTGGACAGATTAGTGCAGCTTAGGTTAAGCCTTTTGGAGGAGACAAGACCTTTCTACATCCCAGATTCTTCATTTATCAAATGGGTATAATGGACTCTACCTCATAGATTTAGTGTGAGAATTGGATGAGATCATGCATATAAAGAGCTTAGTGCCGTGCCTGGCATATGGTGAGTGCTCAGTAAATTATGATTGTGATGATGACAATGATGGCATTGATGTCTCTGGGACCTGACAGATGAGTAGGGTTGAGATATCCAGAGAGGAAGAGGTATGGCCTTCTAGGTGAATTATGAAGAAAGAGGAGAGCAAACATGATGTTGGGAAGGGGTGCTCAGGAGAAACAATTTTCTTATTTCCTTATGGTCACTAGTTACCTACTAGCTGAGGTAATTGAGGAGAGAAGAGGAATGGATGTTGCAAAGTCAGTCAGCAGCCCTGAAGCTTTAAAAAAATATTTTCATTGATTTCAGAAAGGAAGGGAAAGGGAGAGAGAAATGGATACATCAGTGATAGGAGAGAATCATTGATTGGCTGCCTCCTGCATGCCTCACACCGGAGATCGAGCTCACAACCTGGGCACGTGCCCTGACCAGGAATTGAACCATGACCTCCTGGTTCATAAGTTGGTGCTCAACCACTGAGCCACGCTGAAGCTTTTTATTGGCCTTGAAGCATGCTGAACATGCTCTGTGTCTGACACTTGGACCTTTCTTCATGACTAGTCCTGATCTTTCCTTCCTCCTCCTGGAGCTCAGGCCTAATGCCATATGGGTGCATAGGAAAAGCTCAAGACATTCCCAGAGTGAGAGCAACCTGTGATGCTTGCAGGTCCAGGCTCGGTGGCTTCCCTGATCTTAACAGTTGTGAGCCTTTCCTAAGGCACAGAGGAAATGTGACTCCCAGCAGGCTGACAAGGAGGGCCTGGGCTTGGGGATAGGAGAGGTCCCTTGAGACTGTCTTCTGTATGTTATAGATGGCATCAATCAGTTAAGTATTTGTTGAGCTCCCATTATGTACGGAACCACTGTTAGGAGTGTTGGGTGTTTCAAGTGAAGTAAAAAGCATGGTCCCTTCCCTCAAGGTATTGCTTGTTTTGTTGACATACTGGTAACAATTCGTGGCCCATTAGGATTAGGTATAACTAAATGTTCAATTGCGTGCTTTCTCCAGATGCCGTTACTTGGCTGTCCAGCTATCTCCTGCCATCCCCGTGTTTGCTGCCATGCTCTTCCTTTTCTCCATGGCTACACTGTTGAGGACCAGCTTCAGTGACCCTGGAGTGATCCCTCGAGCCCTACCAGATGAAGCAGCTTTCATAGAAATGGAGATAGGTGGGTTTTCTAACCAGCTGGCAAGATGCTGTGCTTTAATTAGTAAGGGAATGGCATCAGAATAGTGGTTGCAGATTAACAATCATTTCTAGGCTTTTCCCTCTGAGATCCTGAATCTGAGATCATGCCCACCCTGTGCATTTGCTAAGGCAGCTGAAGCAAGGTTTGAAAGTCATGCTTCCTTTTTTTTTCTTGTGTCGGGTTGCTTTTCGGGAGGGATTTGTTACCAAGGTCTGCTGCACTGTTCCTAAGAGGATGGTTATTTATTTATTTTTTTTACTCTTTGGGCATCATCAACTCATTTGATTTTTTCATGAAAGCTATAAACCTTCTCTTAGTAAAAATATCCTTACATACATGCACATACATACAATTTTGGATGTAATTTCAAGGATTCATAGAACTTCTGAAGCACATTCATGGGTCCATGACCAAGAATTCCTGCTTTAGGAGAACACACAAGGTGAAAGGGGTCAACTATGGTGCCAGGAACCATTGAGAATTCTAGAAATGATAAGGAAGCAGTTACAGTTTCATTACAGAGCAGTCTGCAGCTAAGGGTAGGACTCTCTGGGATAGAGATAGAGTATTACACTACCTAGGAGCAGGGTGGCTTCAGGAATTGAAGCAGGACATCCCAGGGCTAGAGAGGATAGATATTCTGGGAACTCACACTGGGAAAGAAGGCCACGATGCCAGTACTAGCAGGGACTGGGAGCCCACCAGACCCAACAGCAGTGCCTGCCTAAATTGTTCTTAATTCCAGTACCCAAGTAGCTTGAGTCAGCATACAAGCCAAATAGAGTAGAAGAAAGGGACCCAGGACTTATAAGACTAAAAGCTATATCAGTTGAGCACCAGTCTGTGATTAGCCTTTAGTTCTTTTAGGGTGTGTGTTTGCTTGCTTTTTTTTTTTTAAATTTTAACATTATTTTATTTAATTCAAAACACAAACCTGTCGGGGTTCTAATAGGTATTACATTTAATTGTTTATTTATTTATTTATTTTTATTGATTTCAGAGAGGAAGGGAGAGAGTGAGAGATAGAAATATCAGTGATGAGAGAGAATCATTGATCGGCTCCTCCTGCACACCTGCTACCAGGGATCGAGGTCGCAACTTGGGGATGTGCCCTTGACTGAATTGAACCCGGGACCCTTCAGTCCATAGGCCGATGCTCCATCCACTGAGCCAAACCAGTTAGGGCTACAGTTATGTATTATTTTTGAGAGAATTTACCTTAAAAATATATTTGTATTGATTTTAGAGAGGGAGAGGGAGAGGGAGAGAGAGATGGAAATATCAGTGATGAGAGAATCATTAATCGGCTGCTTCCTGCACGCCCCCTACTGGGGATCGAGCCCACAACCTGGGCATGTGCCCTTGACTGGAATCAAACCTGGAACCCTTCAGTCCGCAGGCTCTTTCCACTGAGCCAAACTGGCTAGGGTGAGAATTTACATTTTTATATTATCTGCTTATCCAAAAAATAGTGTCTTTTATATTTTCAGATTGAATTTTATGTCCATTAATAATTTTATACACACACACACACACATATATATATGATTAATTTCAGAGAGGAAGGGAGAGGAAAAGAGAGATAGAAACATCAATGATGAGAGAGAATCATTGATCAGCTGCCTCCTGCATGCCCCACACTGGGAATTGAGCCCACAACCTGGGCATGTGCCCCAACTGGGAATCAGACTATGATCTCCTGGTTCATAGGTTGACCCTCCACCCCTGAGCCACGCTGGCCGGGCTAAAAAAATTATTAATTGACTTGTTTTTGTGCATGTCACAACAGGTTCCTTAGCAAGGTTAGCTCTGTTTTGCCAGATCACTGGGTTTGGGGGCCAAGCACGAGACATCATATTTGTGACCTCTGCATTTAACATGCTTCTCTCGATAGAAGAGTGCATTCTTGAGTTCATACCCATGCATATGTTTATTTTTATGCTAACAAGTTTTTGTCAACTTACATTCAGTGTTCAGCCCTGTACAGCAGGTCCTTGAATAACATTGTTTTATTCAACATAGTTTCATTATAACATGGATGAGATACCGTAGGAACTTAACTCTTGTTTATATTAATTAGCCTACGGTAAAATTGGTTTCATTATATGTAATTTCACTTAAAGTCACAGAACCTATCGAAGATGCTAAGTGAGGACTTACTGTACTGGGTATGCTATGGGTGAGGAGAACCGAGAGAAGAAGGCGGGTGATTCCCTTGCATCATAGCACTTCATAGGGAGGATGAACCATGAACTCTGTCTTCCAGGTGCCTTCATGTAAAGCACATACAAAGGAATATTAAGGTGGCAGGTGCCATGCTGGTACTCATATCCTCTAATGAACAGCCATCCCCATCCTTGTAAGACTTGTGAAACACTGTTATTGTTTGATTTCACAGCATCCACCCCACTCTGCAAAAAAGGGAAAAATGTTCCATATGGCAGATATTTTTAAAATCAAAATGAATTAAAAACATTATGTTTTTAGAATTACCCTGCATAAGGAGAGTGCAATAAGACAGGCACTCTCATATGCTGCAGATGGGCGGCATGCAAATCTATCAATTTGGGAAGCAGTTTGGCAATAGTAATATGGGCTTTAAGGGTTCATACCCTTTGACCCAGTAATTCCACTTCTGTCAGGGTTTAGCTAAAGGAAATAGACAGATTTACACAAATTACTGTAGAAGGATTTTTAGTGCATCATTTTTCTTTTTTCTTTTTCATCTTAATATGGCACTAGCTATTTTAATGCTGGCAACTTCATATATTACTGCTCAGACTTCAACATGCTTTTCTTTTTTCTTTATGTTTTAGAAATTAATTTTAACACATGAATGTATTCTTTTTTTTCCCATTGATTTTCAGAGAGAGGGAAAGACAGAGAGAAACACCGATGTGAGAGAAACACATCGATTGGTTGCCTCCTGCACAAGCCCTGACCAGTGCCTGGGCCGGGGAGGAGCCTGCAACCTAGGTACATGCCCTTAGCCGGAATCAAACCCAGACCCTTCGGTCCATAGGCCGATGCTCTATCCACTGAGCCAAATTGGCTAGGGCATGAATGTATTCTTGAGGAAGGAAGGAGGGGGTTGGGATCAGAGTGTGGTGTTCAAGGGGATTTAGCTTTATTTGTAATATTATA